TGTACGATTTTAAGAGTTTGAGGGTAAACAGGTCTGCTGCTCTAAAAGCACATTTTCTTTTTTTTCTTTCTTTTTTTTTTACTTTTACTGCGCTTAAAACAAAGCTTTAAAAAATAAACCTAAACAAGAGCAAATGTGCTTAAGGGTTTGCTCTGCTCATATATGTATTATAATATATCAATATCTCCAAAGCCCTGGTTAACCATGGCCCATGACAGGAAATTAAATAAAATTGATCCATGATAACTTTACTTCTTTTGAGAACATTCAGAACCAGAAATCCACAATTGATGATAACAGTGTAATATTGCACTCAATGAGTACATGTGCATTAAATGCTATCCATTGTTTTTGGTTCATATCTAATAAATTGTGACTATCAATAAAAGTTATAATCTAAGTTCTAAGCTTTTGTCTTAGCCATTAACCTCATTCAATATGAGTTCAGAGTCTGAGTTCAGGTTACAGAACTTACTGCCAGAACAAGGTAAAAATATTTATAATAATAAAAGCAGTTTTGTTAAGTAAAGCCACGAATAAATGCATTTAAAATATATAAAATGTATTTTAATCATGTAAATTAAATGTCTACAACTTATACTTAAACAATCAGAGTTGACAGTTTAGTTACTTCTAGATATTCTACTCATACGAGAGTCTTAGAGTACTAAAGCAAGCAGAAATTCAGCAATGGACTGAGTGAGTCAGTCCAAGCTACACTGCTACTTATGAACTATCTCCAAATCTAATATATAGGCCCATATATTTTTTAAGGCCTAGCCTGAGCCTACTCATACTACCCAACCAGGTCAACTATTGTTTCAAGTGGTATTTAATACACCACATTTAATAACTAATTATAACTTATCAAAATATGTAGACACAGTTTTAAGCTATCAAAATTACCACACTACACACAAAAAAACTCACTTATTCTAAAATTAGTAATAGTACTGTGATTAAAACAATAAATAAACAAAATAAGAGTGTGCAAGCCTTCAAAATAAGCATTTGTTGATTGATTATTAGAGATTCCCCCTCCCCCCCCCCCCCCCCCCCCCCTTTTTCCCCTTTTTTTTTTTTTTACACTTGCTAGCCCCAGGCCTTGGCTTGCTCACAACTCACACCACAAACAATAAATAGTAAGTAAAAAAAATAGTAAAATTAAACTTAAATATTAAAATATTGCTCGTTTCCTTTTAATTACGGAAAGAAAATAAAAACGATCTCATTCATTGGATTCATTTTTAGTGTTTTTTTTTATTTTGGTAAGTTTTAGTTTAGTTTGTGTAGGGTGATTGCCAATTGCGCCCGCATACAATTTAAACTCAATAACTCAATATCACCTAGATCTAATAAAATTTCATCTAAACCAATTATTAGAGATGCTATTTTCGATTACAACATAGATAAAGTTTTTTTTTTGTTGTTGTTGTTTAAGCAGACCATTTTTTGGTCTTACACTGTAAACGTACTACTGCGCACACTGAACTGAACAAAAAACAGCAGAATATACATTGAGTGAGCTTAGTTAGGCAAAGTACCGCTCACTCCCTGACCTGGAAAACAAGGTCATTACAATATACTAATAAGCTTTCCTGACTATCATAAGGATAACCAAATGCAAAGAAAGTATGGAGTTCCAAACAATTAGAAATAGCAACACATTACCTCTAACGGTGCTTGACTCATTTTTGTTTTGTTTATGTCGCTTTAGTCCAATGGAACTGTTGCTAATCTAACATAACATGTTAATGTTGTTTGCACTCTAGGTTTGGCCAGATTTCTAACAATGGTTAGAGAAATTAAAATAAAAGCACATAAAATGTAATGTTTTATTTTATCAGCAAACTAATGTTTAAGAGTATAAAAATTTGCAATAATAATACTAATAATAATATAAAAACATGCAAAATAATTCTTGAGTTTTTTTCTCTCAGTTAAATGTTTTATTCTTAAAAGATTTATGAAAGAATATATTTTAAAGCTCTCAAAGCTATATGAAATTTAATTTTAAATTTACGCTATTAATTTAAGGAACTTTGTCTTTAAAATTTTCTTAGTACTCCGGTGATATTTTATTTTTTATTGAAATTATCATTTTATTAATATTCCCTTAAAAATATTTCGTAATAAAATACTTTATTTTGAAAAAATAATCAATTTAATAAGGTTTTAAATTTATTTGCATTTATTGCATGTTAAAAATTGATTATTCTACTAATCGTAAATTATCTTTTTATCCCTTTAAACTGAAAAATATACGCAAATTAAAATTGTAATTATTATTTTTAAAATTTGAATATTTGTTGTCTCGTTACTGTAAAAAAAAATATTAAATGCTTATTTCAAAGAGAAGTTCAAAATATACCAGGCTTTATATATTATAATGAAGTTTTTAACGGTGTTATTTTATTTTCTATTTTATTTTTTTTTTATTAGTTCTAGAGTGGTACCTGGCAGCTTGAAAGAGTTCTAGGTTATTTGAATAAATTAATTTCCGTAACTGAGCTGCTCAAAAATTTTTCTTAAGAATCATTAACTTTTCTTTTTTTACCTTACAGACTTATTTATTTTAAATTCAATCAATAAAATTATCAAAAAAAAAAAAGAAACGTATTAAGTTTTCAATTTATGAGGAATAAAACGGAAGTTATTGTTGTAATGGCGTCCTTAGCAATGGCGTTGTGTCCGATGACTTTTGGCAGATTTGTCTAAAATTCAATTTAAGTAAGGAACTGTCTCAATAAATTGGTATACAATTTTTTTTAATTGTTAAAATACGTGCCAGTTTATTTTTTTTTTAATTTAAAACTACATAAGCGTCTTAACATGTTAACACCTTCATCAGGCTTCTCTGTTACCCAGCTGTCGCTGGTCACTGACAGTAACACTGAAACTGAAATTCACAATCACTGAAACTGAAATACTAAACTAAGTACTGAACTGTTACTGTGATTTACTGTGCACTCGTAAACTGTATAATACTTATTACTCAGAACACTGTACTGAAGGCGATAAAAAATACAAGACACTAAAAAAAGACACTAAATTAAAGAGTAAAATAGTAGACATTGAACATTTACATACATATAATTATAATATTATATTGTTAGTAGTGTTAAGTCTAGTGGCAGTGGCTAGTACTAGTAGAAGTAGGCCTACTAATATGAAATTAAAATCTCGCATCTGGTGCGTCCTGTTTCCTTGTCCACCCCCAACTCCACATGTTTATATCTTAACAAAACTGAGTGAGAGTGAAAAGAAAGGCTGTCACTGAGTGAGCTTCATGTGTGATGTCTGAACTCCTGTAAATAGGTTGAATTTTTTTTCTTAATGGGTAGGCACCTATTATTTATATTTGGTGTCGTTATAGCTCTTGTTCCTCTGTCACACAGCAAGCTTCATGTGTAACATCTGAACTCCAGTAAATAGGTTGCATTTTTTCTTTAGAAAGGAATTTTTGTTAATTTCACTTTTTTTCACATTTTTGTTCTGGGGCTGCACACAACGCCGAACTGGGTAATGGGCCGTCCTTTCTCTTCGGGCATGTATATGCCCGTGAGTCTTTTCCATAGTCTTTACAAGAAGGTTTTGCTATTTTTGTTCTACAGTGACTGTTGTTTTTTAAGTCTTTGGTATAACGGGTTTTTGTAGTCATCTCTATTCTGGGATCCAGCCTGTTCCTATCAGTGATCAGCTGGTTTTTTCTTGACACAAATGGACAACACAGGGCAGTAGATTTCATTGCATATTATAGAACATGAGAAGTTAACTCTTATTTTGTAACACTTTGACCTTCCAGGTATTTTCTCAAAATAAAAAAAAAACTGCACCCAGTTAAGTCCTAGTTTGATCTGTTTAAACAATTTATCTATTGTATTTAGTACTATTAATTATTATTTGTCTTTAGAAATTTGTTTAAAATTTAAAATAATAAAATATAAGTTATTAAAATATATTTATATATTTATTACAGGCTGTGCGCCACTGTGCGGAATGTAATTCTTTTATCTGGGCTTGGTAAAATAATAGGGTTTAAGTTAGCAACTTAGTTCTACTCTCAAATGCAGCAAGTTCAGCAAGACTGTAAAAGTGGAGGAATCAATAAGCTGTCTTTGCCCCTACCCTCTCATAATTTCAGATGATACGTAACGGTGCCAAACAATTATACTATGATGGAAATATTGATAGTTATAATAATAAAGTTACAATCTATGTAAATCTCTATTTCTATGGTCCACTGTCAGCAAAAGGGCCAAAATAATAAGTTTTAAAATTATTTCACATTAAACAAGAATGAAGATGAATTGAGTCCTGGGAAACCCATTTATCATTGCACCATTCCATTTACTTCATTATTTCTATTGTTTGAAGTTATTTTAGGATAATTTAACTAATGAAATTACATATGAATAATTATTAACGAATGGGATATTAAGTGAGTGTTACTTAGTGCAACATTAATACTAACTTTGTAATTAGCTAATGTCTTATTTTTGACAGCTGTTGGTGACTGTCACTATTATGATGTTCAGATTAAATTATTAATAATCCTCACACATAACTATTAACATCATGTATAATAATATAATTTATGTATTAAAATAGGAGCAAATGACGAATAATAAAAATAAATATAAGAATTTATAGGGGCTATTTTGATAAATTTGTAATTATCATCATGGCTTCCTGACCTACTATTTAAGGGAATCAAGCATGTTTATGGTAGTTTCTCTGTTACTTTTAGAGTCATTTAGAAAATGAATATAAGGTTAATTCTAGATTTGCCAAATAAATTAGTTTTTATCATCACTAGTTTTGTAATTTGTTGTAAAATAAATTTATTACAAAATAATCACTATTATTCACATTCAAATTAAAATTCTTTTGTCCCTGTTCCTTGGCATTATTTTATTAATTGTTTTCACTTTCACAATTTAAAAAAAAATGTATTTCACCAGCTTTTGCATTCACTTCTCTTTTTCTTGGATGCGCTAGTTATCACAATGGATGCCAAACACCAGCAGCTGATCAATCACTGTGCAAATCTCTTAGATTCTTATGATGCAGATACTACAGGCTTGGAGGAGCATCTCAAGGATTATTTAAATGCCAACAGGGTGCTTATTGAAGAGAATTTACAAAGTGGCCATCCATAAATGATGTCATGCTATTTTGGTTGATTTTTTTTTACCCTACCCACCCCAACCCCAACTCAAAGTCACAAATTTGTACAATAAATTAATTGTGACAAATAAATAAATTTGGGATATCCCCCCCCCCCCTTTTTGCCCCACACAGACATTTGACATTGTTTATGAATTTGCCCTATATGCAATTATTGAAATACATATTGTAGGATGGCTACAGATTTATTTGTGATGAGATAATGAGGCTTGAAGATTTAATTAATGAATAGGCTTTGCAGCTAGCCAACTGATTCAAAGCTAATTACTAATATTACTTATTAGTCATCTAATTAAAAAGAAGCTACAACAATATATGTAAGTCTTTAATAATGTACATCCTCATTTGTAAGTATTTTATTATTAATTATCTTTGTGCCCAGGTACAAGATGAAGATGATAAAATATTCATAACTGAAGTGTTTTCTGGATGTGTTCGACATGGCCCTATAATGAATTTAGTTGTGGATGGATTCTATGTTCGTGATGGAAGATATATTTTGAGATCCCTTCAAAGCATGTATAAAGGCAAGTCTGCCTCATAGTTTCCTTACTATCAAGCTGTGAATGTTCTTACAGCTTTTTATTTGAAAAGTTATTTAGACTAAAGATTAACTATAGAATAAAGATTATTATATTTTTTAAAATTTAATTAATGCAATATAAAGATCATAGAAATATTAATTGAAATATTTTAACTAATTTTGCCTCTAGAGTTAAAAAGTGGAATTAATATTTATGTAAACCCTATTTGTAAAATTATTTTTAAAAATATTTCAGTTCTGGCATATTTAGCATTGTTCAGGCTGGATGAACTTGGTGTTGCCCATTACAGAAAATTTGTTAGCACTTTAGAAATGAAATCAGCATACAAAGTAGGTTTGGCCAAGTAATTATTTGTTGTTCAGCTCTGACAAGGTCTCTCTATCTCCCTTTGGTTATTTCTTCTTCTTGTATTTGAGGGCCCACAAACAATTTATTGATCATTCTGGCTCCTGGTTTGAATTCAGAGATTGTCTTCTCTTAAATGAGTTAAAGGGCTAGCAAGTCCCATCCACGGGGGGGGGGGGGGGGGGGGGGGTGGTGGGGGGGCTTGGGATGCTGGCTTTGGTGGGGATTGAACTCCAGACCACCACCTATTTGGGATTAAGTCGGTTTTAAACCGCTCAGCCACCCAGCACCCAGTTGTTGATATCATTCTAACCTCCTCTTGGGGGATGTTAAATCTGTATAAAAATGTATTTCTGAAGTAATTCTACTTAACTATCATTGCACTGACACACTAACAGTAGTTATACCAATTTTCCATGTTACAGTTTCTCAACTTTTTCTTTGATGAAAAAAATCTGGTCACGTGGATGAAAGATGGATGGAATTCAGTTTACGAGCCTTCTTATGTTCAAACCAGCTTATTGTCTCCAATACTGAGGTATGTTTTACAATAATTAATGTTGTTTTCTTATCACTGTTAAGAATTTCAATGAATTAGAATTATTTTCCAAGGCAAATGCAATCTGAATTATTTATCTCTTTGTCTTTAAAATAATATTGAATAATTTAGCAAAGAAACTCAACTTATTATTAAAATTTGAAAAATATGTTGAAATTTATTATTTATATATTGTTTAAAAAGAGGTTATTTGAAATTAAACAAGGAAAGTATAAAGCTATTATACATAATAATTGAAGGCATATGCTATCTATATTAAGGCCTATTTAAGAAAAAACAAAAAACTGAGTATGTAGTAAGGCTATTATGTTTTATGTTGTTTTCTATTAAAAACTTATTAAGTCTGTTTTCTAGCTTTTTTAAAAATTCGTTCATGTAATTGTAGGTGGTTGCCAGAGCTTACTGATTTGGTCAAGCTGATGAAAAACAGGATAGAAAATAAGCTTAAGCCAAAGAAATCAACAATACCAGCAACAGGTTTGACAGTGATTTCTTTCAAGTGCAAAAATGTATGTGTATCTCCAATAAAGTGCAATTGTATATCCCCTGAGATTTGAATATTGTCCACATCGCAGCTTTAAACTGTGATTCATTCTGTTGATCACTTATAACTAATATGTTGGAGCTGTCATTTTTCACATGCCCCACATTTTGGTCCAAAATTATATTTCCTGCAAAACAAAATAGGTCAGAGCTAATGATGTTAAATGTTATACTCTACATTAGGGGTCTCCAAACTTTTCAGCTCGAGGGCTGCATTAACTAACAAACAGCAGTTCGGGGGCCGACTACACACTTGAGGTCCAAATAAAAAAAGAATCAAAACATGGATGTTGTTTTTAATTACACAGATGTATGTTGTTCCAAAGATTGAAAGGTACATTGAAGCAATTTTTTTTTAAAATTAGGAAAGTCTTCCTTGGGCGAAAACTGGTTAAAAACTCACCAGTCCTTCTTTGAACTTCTCCCTAAGGAGGTCATTTGCTTGTAACTCAATGACCTCCAGCTGCATTTCATCTGGGCAACTGGCCACATCTTCTTCAAATGGGTTTTGAAACAGTCTCACTTCTTCTGCCTTTAAATTTAAGTCAGAAAACCGCTGCTGAAACTGCTGCTGGGGGGTCTTTGATGATCTCGCATGCAAATGACGTGGAGAACTCCGCAGTTGCTTCAGCCTTGAAGCCCTTGCACTGCTGAAAGGGCGTCAAGTTGTTGGTCTGCACTTGTTCAAAAAACAAGACGAATTTGGATCTTATGTCCTCTAGGTGGGTGTATAGATCAGAAACTAGATTTTCATCTCCTTCTAGTTTTAGGTTCAGAAAATTTAAATGACTATATATATATATAGTTATGTCTGCAGCAAAGGCTAATTTCCATACCCACTCTTCATCAGACAATATTGGCTGTGGCTTGCCTTTACTATCCAGGAAGTCACCTATTTACTTTCTTAATTTAAATACTCTGGTTAGAATTTTATCACAACTTAGCCATCTTACCTCTGTGTAATATGGTAAATATTGCGACTTTGTGTCAGTATTTTTCAAGAAGTTTCTGAACTGTCTATGGTTGCGCCAATGTGGCCTTATTAAATTAACCCTCTTCACCACAGGATTCAGTACACTGCTAATGTCCATATATTTAGCACACAAAGCTTGCTGGTGAATAATACAATGCAGGAACATTGGTTATAGAATGTTTTTCTTATTACACATCTGCTTCACTTGTCCAACCAAGCCTTTCTTCATGCTACTCATGTTATTTCCTCCGTCAACAGTCAGGCAACTGAGGTTAGTCCAATCAATGTTATAATCAGCAAATGTTTTTTTCAACTCATTTAATTTAGTGTCTCTGGTAACAGTGCCGTACAAGCAATGTAGGGAAGCCATCTCTTGTGTTATGTTCATGTCTTCATCGACACCTCTAATGAACACAAGCAGTTGAGAGGTGGAACAGCTGTCCAGCGATTCATCCATTGCAATTAAAACTTGGCGAAACTTGCTTGCATTTTTCACTATTTGAGACACAATGTTTTCACCCATGTCTGCAACAGGGCGGGCAAATCTCTGCCATTAGATAGCGTTATATCATCTCATTGATTTTGAACAGAAGTAGAAAAAGTAAACAGCAAAAAAAGGTTTTGCAATGTAGTGATCGGTTAGAAAACACAACGCACTACTACCCGCCTCTATTTTAATTCGGTAAAAACGAAACGTCCACTTAAGTGGTGGCTGATCTTGGCAGGATAAAAGCAGGGCTGCCACTCAATTTTTTTTTAATTCCCAAGATTTGGTCAAACTATTTCCCAAGATTTCCCAAGATCATGATAATATATAAGAGTTTTTTTTAAAATGGAAATTATCTTGGGAATTTTTTTTTAAACGTGAGTTTTTGTCCTGGATGGGGTAGTGAATTCCCAAGATCTTGGGCAATTTCCCAAGGTGTGGCAGCCCTGGATACAAGTAATTTTTTTCCGTAGACAAAAAGGTCTCCACGGGCCGCTTGAGAGGGCCTCATGGGCCGTTGTTTGGAGACCCCTGCTCTACATTATAAATTTTAGTGTATGAATAAATTATTTTTATGTGTGACGCTTTTAAGTACTTCACTTAATTTACTTCTCGCTCTGATGCAAACATCAAAATTTGAAAACTTGTGGCAGTTTTTAATACCACAGGTTTCTTTTAACTATGCAAAACAACTGACCGAGTTGTGCCTATTTTCTATATTTAACACAAACTTTTGTGAAATTCTTTCAGATGTGAAGCCATTCAATCTGACCAAACCAAGACCAAGAAGCATTCCAATCCCAGATAAAGTAGAGATCCTATAATCAATGTTTTAGAAAATATTTGGATAATTTTTTTAAAATAGTTTCTTATAAATTTATATCGATATCAATGTTAAATTTAAAGATGGCACCTTTAATTTTTAACACTTAAACATTTGTTTCCAGATCCCACAGTTGAAGAAATCAAATCCAATTCCTGCCTCCTTATATAATCCTCCCATAGATCAAGAAGAAATTGCTAGACAAAGAATAGAAAATAGAAGGAAAGCTGAGGTTTGAATTCTATTGTTATTTAAAAGTAAAATTTTCTAGTCTGACTCGTTAAGCTCAAAATGTATTATCATTATTTTTATATTCTGAAAATTCTCATAAAAAAAAATACTTTGCACCTTGGCCAATCATAAGAGCAACCACAACTATTTGTATTCTTAAATTTTTTTAAATACTACTCCTCACAGGAACGCTTGATGGAAGCCTCAAAGATTCAGTTTTCTTGTGCTAATCCAGAGAAATCTGATAAAACTAAGCACATTCTACAGAACATAGCCATAGAAGAGATGGCTAAAACTGAGGTCACAACTGTCAAAGCCAGACCTCTCCCAGATTTTGTAAGTTATACCAAAATATTCATTTACAGACAACTTGCCACAAAAAGTATTTCCCATTGAAATATAGGTCTCTGAACTGTAAATAATGATGATAATATAATTATAATTGGAAATATTTAGATTGCAGTATACTTAAGACATGATGTTTATATCACTACTTAATAATTTTTTGTCTTCAGAAAAAAGAGGCTGTTCCAGTGAAAATGACAGCAGCAACCATAATGAGGGAGGGCTTATTGTATCAGAAGCTAGAAAATGAAATCATGGAGAAGTAGGTCACTCCCATTGAATGTATATTATCATAATCTTTCTAAAATATGATTTATAGAGATCTCTCTTATATGCTGCTAAATTCTGATAGGCCTTTTGCCTGAATGAAATAATAATCCAGGATTTTCCCCAATAACATAACCAAGTTAATCTGATTTCAAAAGTGTCCTTTTTCTGACTTTGTTTATTCTTTTTCATATAATCTTCTTAACATTTAATTGGCATATAATACTTTTGCTAACTCAACTTTTATTGTGCAGACTTCGTCGGCTTGAAGCCGGTGCTTATGATGCTAGTGATTTCAACAAATGGCAGTCAGAGATGAGACAACGAGATCTTGAAGCTCAACTCATGGCCATTGAGGAGAGGAGACTGCTGGGAAAACTGAGTCATGAAGAGGCAATCTATGCCCGCAAAAATCTAATGGCAGAGAATCAAACGCGAGTTAAAAATATAAAAAAAGAAGTAAGTTTTTTTTAAAATATTTTTATTAGGGCCTGCTTCAGTGGGCTATTTTCAAATAGTTGAAAAAGAGTCTTTTAGTGCTGTAAATGTAATGGAAGAAACTAGCAAAATATACAATATTACAAGACACAACTCTGTCACAAATTACATTTCAGTTGCTTTGCACAGTTTTGAGTCACTGATAGTTGTGAACTATTTGTGAATTTATGTTTTTAAAACAAACGAAATTATTGGAAAACAATTTTATTCTTTCTAGAAGTAGTTTAATTAAATTTCATTCCTTTTAAAAAAACAAAACATAGCTATGATTAAAGTAAAATTGATTCACAAATTTAAAGTAACTGCTGCATTTATTAATTATTTTTACTCCTTTAGACAGCCGCCATGATGAAAGAATTCCTGGATAAAAAGTTCCAGGAAGAAAAAGAAATGAAGTAAATATTATGTTGTTTTATTTAAAATTATATCTGAAAGAATTTAAGACTGGCAACTTAAATTGCTGATAATTTAAAAAGTTGTGTGGATTTATTTTCACATTTTCATTATGTTTAATGCATTTCCAATGCCATTTTTAAACATATTGTCAGAACTTTAGTTGAAAACACAATGGCCAGCCACAAAAATGCCAAAGAAGCAAAAGAGAAGTTAAAAGCTTACAAACGTAAAATTGGTAAGTCAATATCTATTCATCCCTGTACACTTCAGGTAATACTGCTAATAAAACTTAAATTTCTCTCTTGTTGCAAAATAAATGTGTATAAACTATTTGTTTAGGTTTTATTATAATGCTTGTGTAGGACTCTTCTGTTAAATGTTAGCTATTGCTGTCCAAATAAATAGAAACTTATTCTTCTATGATAGATTTAAAGGCTGTTTAATATTTAACTCTTAGTTGTCCTTTTCAAGTCTCAATTAGCCAGCACCAAGAAAATTCTTACCAATAATTAATTCAAAGTGTTTTCTTTATGATGTATATTATGTTGGTTTCAACAGTTCAGGAAGTACATGAAGAAAGCAGAGAACTCATGAAACAAGCTCTTGAAGAGGTAAACAATGGGGGGGGGTGGGGATGGGGAATCTGAAATCAGATTTATACTAAAAATGTATTCATGTTTCTGAAAGTTAGAAAATCTATATTTGGGTGCTGAGCAACATTTACAACATGATCTTGCTTAATAATATATTTGTTCGTATTGAATGATTACAATTGACCCTATATATTGCAACTGTTTTGTTATCATCCCCAGGCTGAAGATGAAATGCGTGCCAAGATGGAACTGATCCAACAGATTAGGGTCATGGAATCGATGCCTGTCAGTCGATTTAAAGTGCTGGATCTGACATCAACGTCAGGAGCAGGGCTTTTAGGAGAGATGAGCATTCTGGAGGTATTCTTTTGCCTTAGGTTGAATATAGTGGACTTCAGACATTCAGTTGCTGTCTGTCTAGTTATGTTCAAAATGTTTCTGTTTGTGATTTAGTTAAGTTTATTTTGCCATGTCTGATAAAGTTTATATTACACATATTGTATTTTTTAAATATTTTCTTAACTTACACAGTATTAACTAAAGCAGGATTAGTTTAAAATTCAGATGAATTTTTAAAAATGTAACTGTTTTAGAAAAATATCATGTTTGAATATAATGTAAACTTCTAATAACCTTTAATAACCTTTACAAAATCCACCATAATGAAATAAAAGTATATTTATTGACCTAGTTATCCCTCTTGTCCCAATCCTTTGTAGTTTATGATTCATTAACAACAATCTTCCTGTTCAATAGCCAGTGGCGTAGCGAGGGTGTTTGGCGCCCGGGGACAAGATTCGCGCCCGGGGACAAGATCCATTTTTAGCACCCCTTTTTCTTTTTTTCAACTCTCAAGCCCATTATTTTCATCAATAAAATAATATCAAAGCACATTTTGGCGCCCCTAACTAGCTGGCGCCCAGGGACATCTGTCCCCCCCTGCCCCCACCACGCTACGCCTCTGTCAATAGCTACTAGATAAATAAGGGGCATATGCCTTGACAAACTACAATGCATAATTTATATCAGAAAATAATCACAGCCATGATGCAGTACAACATACATTTTAAAAAAGCACAATATTATTAACCTTATGATGCTCACCCTAGATTTATTGTTTGACCTTTCCAGCTGAGAGAAAGACTTGCCCTCTTGAAAGCTCAGAATAAGGAAGATGAAGAAATCAGGAGAGACAACATTCTCAATGCCAAACAGGTAAACTAGGTCCATGGAAACAAAACAAAAGTAGGTTGTCATTGACAAATGAGTCATTTCCTCTGATCTCAAGTAGAAAACTGAGCAAGATTCATTCAATTTAGATAATTCAGCCTGATATAACTGCTAATATTATCAGGCTTTTTTTTTTTTTTTTTTTTTTTTTTTTTTTTTTTGGCCATTTTTTTTTTTTTTTTTTAACTTAGGTATTTTAAAATTTAAATTAACTGAGAGTTTGGTTAACCTAATTGTTTTTTTTTTTATTTTTTTTTTTTTTTTTTTTTTTTTTTTTTGTTTTTTTTTTTTTTTTTTTTTTTTTTTGCTTCTTATGGACACTTGATTCTATTTTATTCAAACTAGGTACTGTAAAATTTAAATTAACTGATGAGTAGTGTAACCTAATTGTTTTTTCTTGTAATTTGTTTTCTCTTAATTAATGCTTAACAATACTTGTCATTTACAAAAATAGAGTGGTGGGGCAGTGACAGTAAGGTGGCTGCTGTGAATTTTAATTGATATCTACTTTGTAAAAGTTTCTCATTTAATCCAGTTAAAATGAAACCTGTTGATTTTTAAATTTTATACATTTAGGCTGCATTTTTTAACATTTTTATTTCCCTCAGGCCAAAGCTGAATTTTTATCTGATACCCTGGACATGATTGCCAAGCATAGATCTGAGCAGACAAGAGGTGCTGCTCTAAAGTGAGTTGATTTTCTTAGTATTCTCAATTATGCAACGCATTTTGTATGAAATCTTACACACCCATTTGGTGGAATGTGTATAGCTTTTTGATGGAAGGTAGACACACAAAATGTGTATAGATTTTGGATAAAATGTGTTGGAAGGGTGGAATCTCTACAGATGTCGATGCAAGGTACAGGGGATCCTCGGATTATGTTGTACGCAAATTATGGCATTTCGCTGTTGTGTTGCCATTAATTAATTTCTGAAGTTTATTAGATATATTTATTTACCCTTGAAAGTATGTGGTCCTTGTATTTTTTGTTTAATTTACCACAGAAGTCAAGGTCAGGAATTGCTACTTTTTTTTATTTTTTAACTGTTTCACTTCAATACTGCTGTGTATGTTCTCCATGTGTTTATTTTTATTTATTTACCACAGGATTAAAGCTCAGGAATTGTTATCTTTTTTAATTTATATTTTTATCTTTACTGTTTCATTTCATTACTGTGCTGTGTATGTGCTCTACATGAGTGATGTAGGTGCTTGTATAGGTGGGTTCCAGCCTTCGACAAAAATCGCTTTGCGGCGCACCATAGGAACGGACCTCCGACCCTAAGTCGAGCACCCCCTGTTTACAGCTGTTGGGTGGAATTTGTATAGCTGTTGGTTGTATATTATAGCTGTTGGTTGCATGTAGCTTTTGGTTGCATATATTGGGTGAAGTGTGAACAATTTATGGGCCTACTTCATTGACTTGGATAATAAATGAAGGACGCGTTCAGGCTGTGTGAATGAAATAAAAGAGCAAGGTATGTGGAAGCTTGAAGTAGAAAAACAGGACAATAAAAGAAGAATGTTTCGGCTAAGAGCCGACGGGACAAATGAAAAAATAACAAGTATTTCTATTTCAGTTTGCACATTCCTTGTTTTTCTATTTACTACATTGACCTGCAGAGTTATGTAAATCGTTCAGAAGGTAAAAGGTTCAGAAAAATTAATGCCCCGCTTTCAACTTGAAATAATTTATTAGCGCTCTTTTTTTAACTTCAAAACTCTAAAGCCGGCAGCAGTATCAATTATTTAAAAGCAATATTTTTCTTTTGAGTAATTTTATCAAAATATATTGTCATAATTAATGATCAGAAATACACCCATAAGTTCATGGATTGATGAACCATTTAATATTCATCCATCAAAAAGAAATGTATCATTTTCATTCTCTTTAATCGATTCCCTGCTTTAAAGTTGCCAAGAATAATAGAAATTTTCTTCTTTTTTTTTTGAATAAAAAGTCAATTCCATTTGTTAAAAATTAAAATTACCAACAAGAGTAGTTGAAATCTTTTGTTCTCTGGCTATATCTGAGGTATTTGCTAAATTTCAGATATTATTTGCACTATCTCAAACATTGTTTGCTTAATATAAGATGTTATTTGCTTGATCTCAGATGCAATTTTATTATTCTCAGATGTTATTGGCCTAACCTCAGATATTATTGGCTTAATCTCAGATGTTATTGGCCTAATCTCAGATGTTATTGGCTTAATCTCAGATGTTATTGGCTTAATCTCAGATGTTATCGGCTTAATCTCAGATGTTATTGGCCTAATCTCAGATGTTATTGGCTTAATCTCAGATGTTATTGGCCTAATCTCAGATGTTATTCTCTTAATCTCAGATGTTATTGGCATAATCTCAGATGTTATTGGCTTAATCTCAAATGTTATTTGCCTAATCTCAGATGTTATTTCCTTAATCTTAGATGTTATTGGCTTAATCTTAGATGTTATTGGCTTAATCTTAGATGCTATTTGCTTAATCTCAGATGTTATTCATTTGATTAGACTTGAAGCCAGCAAGAAACCCAAGACGGGAGCAGGACAGTTTAAGAGTTTGGCCCTGGCTGAGCTGGAGAGGAAAGTGGAGGAAAGAAGATCAGCTCGGCTCCAAGAACAGCGACCACAGGCTCCCACATCATCAGCAGCCAAAAAGAAAATTAGCTTTGTTTCACAAAAGGTCTGGGCTCAAATGTATCAGTGCGATGTCACTGAGGCAAATTAAAAATTATGCTCTATGGCAGTGGTTCCCAAAGTTGGTGTTTTTTGCTGCATTTTTCGGTCTTTAGTTTCACCAGCATCCCCAATACACTTCTACACCTCCAAATCTTATGAAAACTATTTTCAATGGGGCATAGTTTATAATCCAGTGAAGAAAATAATTATTTTAAAGCTTTAAAAAGAAGCTTATCCAATTCTACATATAAGTTGAATTGAGACTTACTTTTTTTTGTTGTTTTTTTTAAACTTTTATTTAATTAAATGATTAAGCTCCTTATTCAACATTCTAAAAGTTAGGAAAGATGAGGCTTAGTGCTACAAAAATAAATATGTCCATAAAATAAATTCATCATTCTGTAAGTATGGATGGGCTGCCATGCAGCAGTTTCCTATAGTCACTCAGCTATGTAATATAATGGGTAATGTATTTCCTTTAATCAGGATAATTTGTATTGCCTCATAAAAAAACTCTGTTCCACTTACAATAAGATATAATAAAAAGAAGCAAACTTCCAGTATATTGTCTCCCTTATCAAGTCATTTTGGTTTCCCTTTTTTCTTTAATACATACTTGTATACAACAAATCTTGGAGTAAACATCCATCATTATATAGCAAAATGAGTTGGTAGGAAATAATTTGTATCTGTGAAAGTGGACACATATTCTGGTTTCTGGTATACACTGCTACTTCCATAATCCTTAACATTTTATCTCCATGTCGATTGTGTTGCATCAGTCCTTTTTATAAATGAGTTAAGTTCTTGATTGGCTCACATATTTTTTCCACTTTTCTGAGTGCAGTCAAACTATCTTGTAACAAATCCTATCCGGACTCACGTGTTGGGAAAAGTCTTGCCTTGAAACAACCTTAACCCTCCCAGCAAATCTCTTACTGTAAACCTGTTTCTTAAGCATACCAAAGTCCAATTTTGGGAACCACTGACTGTTTTAAAATGACCCAGAAATGGATCAGTCAAAATGTAATGTTATCTGGTCTAACAATAAATTATGGAAGCAATGTCTTTATCAATCCAGGCAGTGACAGATTAAATTCATTCTCACACACAGAAGAAGAATCTTAGAAATCAGTTGTTTTTTTCTAGCTTGTATCAATCAATCTGATTGGCCAAAACAATTGTCAAGAGAAAAGAGAATCTTTGAAAATAGAAACAAAATCAGACTGTTTTTTTCTCTAATTTTTCTAAATGTAAAAAAAAAAAAAACCCAAATAAAACACCAAAACAGTACCAGCAAAATTTTTAAATTCTTTTTTTTTTTTTTAAGCTGGATGTTTAAAATATTTCCTTTAACTATTTTCAACTTTCCAAGTGTTTTTGTTTCTTGTTTGACAAACACTTAGACATTTCTTTTGTATTATTTGTCAGTTCAGACGGTTAAAATGAAAATAGTTTTTACATTTTTTGTTTGAGGTTGAGTCCTTATGTTCAAATGTTATGTGAATACATGGGTATTGATGTCTTCCTTTCAAAATAAAAAGGTGATTTTGCATTTAGCCTAATTTTATGTTTAGTAAGAAATAGTAATGAGAAAATTGCTTTGCAGTGAAATTAAGTAAGTGTTTAAAAAAAATATATAAAATCTGTCAATAGAATAATTCATGTGAGGATCATTTAATGAGATCTCTGCCAAACGTTTTTAAACCTTTTAGATGAAGTTGTTAACAAAATATTTAATGACAAAAAACAGACAATTTTTTTATTTTTGTCGTAGCTGTATATAAATTATTTTATGCTTGCTTTATTCCTTACAATTCAATACATTTGTTTTGCAGAAAAATTTAGAGGAAAGGAGATGGAAAGAACTGGAACAAACACAGGAGAGGGCAGCCATGTTGTTTTCAAAAGGTCAGACGGTTTCGGCCGCCTCTCAAAGACTCACTGTCAGCACTATATAAATGTTGCATTGCTTTCTATACCATTGTGATATATTCCCTTATGTAAAAAATTTCCTTCGGGGCCACACAGAGAGTGATCAATATTTTATTTAACATTCTTAACTCTTCAAGTCTGTTGCTATGTCATAACTATTCTATTTCTTGAGCATTCATGAAATGTGTAGATCTTAGAAACCATGGCTTAAATATAATAAATTATTTTTAATCACTTTGGCTTGAGTTCAAAAGTCCTGTAAAAACAAGAGCAATGATTTTCAACTAAGACAACATTAATTAATTGTTTACATAAAAAATTCAAGGTATAGAAGTCAGAAGAAATGATAATGAGAAAGAGCTGTTCAATTTATTTTCTGCCTGTGTTTAAACTGACAAATTGACCTGAAACTTAAGTTCGCTGGAGTTAAAAATATAAACATCTGATGTTTTATTATAGTATCTTACTTAATTATCTACCACGTAATTTTTCATTATGAGAAATATTCAAAAAATTTCCAGCGGTTTTTCCAAGCTGCATAATTATTTGGAATCTCAGCTTTTGGTATTCTTGAATTACAATTCGGTCCATACAAATTATTGTTATTTATTAACAGTATTACATTTTCTAATTTATACTATTAAAATAATATGCTATTTTTAGATAGGTGCAACAAAAGATGTCAATTTTTTTCTTAAAGTCTTTAATTCCTTTTTATTTTTTTAAATTTGTAAAATCCCCTTAAGGAAATTAATAACTCGAAGCCCTTGTCCCACAATAAGACTTCTCCATCCCAAATTATGTCAATTGACACACCATGCTATTTTCTTGGTGCTTGTCAAGATAAACAGAAAGCTGAAGAAATTTACTTGGTTCTATTTCCACAAGAATTTTCATCAGATAAACCATTACAAAAATAAAGTCACATGCCATCAAAAAGTTCTCTAATATGTCAGACATTGCTTCAGATAATTGTAGATCAGTACCCTATGTGGAACTAAATTTTCTTTTTAAAAAAAACAACATATTTTGTGATAATTCTTTCTTAAATTATCAAGGCATGTATAATTTAACTTAATACCAATGTTTCTATACTTTGATGAAATTGTACAATTTTGTTTTTCTTGTGTATGTACAGAAAAGTAAATTTTGTATGAATTTATTGTTTGAAATAAAATTTAATAAATATAATTCTAAGATATGTTAAATATATTTGATATTATTTATTTCAGGTTATAGAAATTGATATAATGCTTTGCAAATGTAAGACTCAATGTAAGTCAAGCTTTTAAAAGCTGACGATTTTAGGAAAAAATTATGAGTATGAGAAGAGAAGTGTGTGTTTATGGAGGTCAATATAAAAAGAAATATGTAGGTCAACAGTTTTGGTTTTTTAAAATTTCTATGAACCCAAATAACTTTTTATCTTCTAAGCTTAAACAATAATGTGTCTGAAAAGCTTATTTAGATGAAAAAATGAACCCAACAGTCAGCGTGGGTGTGAGTTGAAGAAAGATAGGCTAAACATAAGTGCAAGAATGTGCTAACTGCTAAGTGACAAAATTACAAGCACCTAGTTTGTAACGTTCGTCCTATGATAATTAAATAAAATATTTAAAATACAATACTTGAAATGACAGTTCTACAAAGTCAAAAGCTAACGTTTTGAGTAAAGAAATTATTTACTGCTTACTAGATAAATCTACGTGTATTATGACAAATTTGTATTTGGCTTAGGACAGTCCTTCCCTCAAGAGACGTAATGAACTCATCAAACAAAGGTCAAGGTCATATTCATGTCATTTAGTTAACATAATTCCAAAATTCACACCATAGTATTCCTTGTCCAATTTACTCTCAGGATATATTATATACTCATATGGGTTTCCAGAGTCATTCTAGTTTCGTTTTAGGTACTTTAGTGATACATATAAGAATTTTTTTTAAAAGATTTGACAACAACAGCAATCTGCATTTGACAGGTTGTCTCTTTAATTGCCTGTTTAAGGAGTATACGGAAATATTTGAATACAAGTTCTTGGTTGGGGGGTGGAGGGGGGGGGGGGCTAAAAAGAAATATCAAAACAAATTTAGTGCCATGCTTCTTTTGTCCAAAGATCAGTGAATAACAAAGGACACTCAGTAAAATGTGTTTGTGACACTGTCATATAGGCGTCTTGTTTGCGTCATCTTTTCTCGTGCATTAACTTTAGAAGACCCCACGTTTGGTCCATTTTCCCATATATATGTGTGCTAAATCTCACCTACATCTATATGTTTACACAATCCAAAATCATTTGTTATGTGTATAAAACAATCCAACCTCAGCAACTTGCTTACCCAAATTCATATTTCCTGCCAATGCTACACAACCCCCGAATCCACCTTCTTCCATTTATTTACAAGATAAAACCCAACAACTCAGTAGCACCATCCAAGTCCAACATCACCTACACGCCCAATCGAGACCCACTCATCCACGCGTTTCAATCCAACGCATTTATCTGCACATTTTAACCCTCTGTCTTTCATCCCCACCCACTCGTCTGTGCCTTTCAACCTACATTCGTCTGTGCCTTTCAACTTACCAATCGTCTGTGCCTTTCAACCCACCACTCGTCTGTGCCTTTCAACTTACCAATCGTCTGTGCCTTTCAACCCACCACTCGTCTGTGCCTTTCAACTTACCACTTATCTGTGCCTTTCAACCCACCACTCATCTGTGCCTTTCAACCCACCACTCGTCTGTGCCTTTCAACTTACCACTCGTCTGTGCCCTTCAACCCACAACTCGTCTGTGCCTTTCAACCCACCACTCGTCTCTGCTTTTCAACCCCGCCCAGTCATATGTGTCTTTCAACTCCCCAACAGCTCCATCATGGCTTACCCTCTGCATACGCCATCTAAAAACACACAACCCTCTAAGCTATTCAATCCCACTGACCCAATACGACTCACTGATCCAACCCTCCTCACTGACTCAACTCCGCCTGCTGACTCAATCGCGCCCACTGATACAACACTACTCGTTGACCCAAACCCACCCACTGACACAGCCCCACCCACTTACCCGACCCCTGACACAACGCCATCCACTGGCACAACCCTGACACACACCCCAACTGACCCATCCAGCCTCACTGACCCAACCCCTGCACTCATCCAGCCCTTTGAAGCACCAGGTACCACTGACCCAACCCCTGCACTCATCCAGCCCTTTGAAGCACCAGGTACCACTGACCCAACCCCTGCACTCATCCAGCCCTTTGAAGCACCCGGTACCACTGACCCAACCCTTGCACTCATCCAGCCTTTTGAAGCACCAGGTACCACTGACCCAACCCCAACGCATGACACAAACCCACCTACTCGACACCCAGGAATCATAATTTCATGAGCCCCAAAAGAAAGAAAACATCGCCACCATACCCCTCCCCCTCCCCGACTGCCCTCTGTCCAAACAACTCATTAGTTTCGTCTCTACCATGTCTGGTCTATAGAAATCGTTTACTGATATTTCATGACCATGTTCATTTGCTCTCTCATACTCCATGGACTGTGTTGCTATAGGGCCGTGTATTGATCTGAAGGGGGAGATCACTCTTGTTATGGATAGAGCGCATTTCTCATTTCCCCTTCATCGCATACATCAACCCTCCACCCCCCTCTCTTTCACGTCCCCCCTCCCCCCATTTTTTTGTTTTTCTTTTCGTCCCTCTTCTTCTCTTCTATCTGATCTCATTTAGATTCTTAATTAATATTTTGTCAAATTAACCTTTCTGGTTCATTAACTCATTCTTTCTCGCTAACCACCATCCCCCACTCACTTCTTTTTTTTTTTTTTTTCTCTTTCTAGACC